GTGTGTGTGTGTGTGTTCTTGTGTGTTTGTGTGTGTGGCGCGTGTGCATCTGCGCCGCGTGTTTGTGTGATGCGCGTGATGCGTGTGATGTGTGTGCTGTGTGTGATGTGTGTGATGTGTGTGTGTGTGTGTGTGTGTGTGTGTGTGTGTGTGTGTGTGTGTGTGTGTGTGTGTGTGTGTGTGTGTGTGTGTGTGTGTGTGTGTGCGTGTGTTGTGTGTTGTGTGTTGTGTGTTGTGTGTTGTGTGTTGTGTGTTGTGTGTTGTGTGTGTTGTGTGTGTGTGTGTGTGTGTGTGTGTGTGTGTGTGGTGTGTTGTGTGTGTGTGTGTGTGTGTTGTGTGTAGTGTGCGTGGTTTGTGTGTGTGGTGTGTGTGTTGTGTTGTGTGTGTGGTGTGTGTGTGTGTGGTGTGTGTGTGTGTGTGTGTGTGTGTGTGTGTGTGGTGTGTGTGTGTGTTGTGTGTGTGTGCGTCGTGCGTGTGGTGTGTGTGTGTGTGCGTGTGCGTGTGCAGTGTGCGTGTGTGTGTGTGTGTGTGTGTGTGTGTGTGTGTGTGTGTCCCTGGGCCCCTTTTAGAAGGGAGCCCGTGCTCCGCCACTGAGGCCGTCCTCCACGAACGACGGTGGACCCCCACTGTGCGCCCAGCGACCCAAAATTCGCTTGATTGTGAAGGCCTGACGGCCGGTGCCGCCGACCCTGAAAGACATCGACGACGACCAGGAGGGGGAGGAGGAAGAGGAGGAGAAGGAGGAGGAGGAGTAGATAAGGAGGAGGAGAAGGAGGAGGAGGAGGAGGAGATGAGGAGGAGGAGGAGGAGGAGGAGGAGGAGGAGGAGGAGAAGGAGGAGAAAATGGACTCCCCCCTGGGCCCCACCCCCCTCGGGAGCCCAGCGCCCAAAAATTCACTTGATTTCCTCTGGGCCACGGCGGCGCGGCGGGCTGCGACGCACGCCGCCGTGGTTTGTGTCGTGTCGACGCGGCGGCGACCCCAGCGCTGGCGTTCAAGATTGAACACCGCCAGTGGCCCGAATTCGGCGGACGTCGAACCTTCCGCGCCATCGGGAAGCCGCGATCGTTCAAGGTTGGACGACCCGCACGGTGTCAGAGTTCGGAAGGCGCCAATCATAGACCTAACTGCACCGATTTTGGCCAGGCCGATACTGAATTACATGCCTTCCTGCCCAAGCCGTGGCGTACACGCACACACACACACACACAAACCGATCCTGGGCCCCAGGATGAGCCTGGCCAGGATCGGTGCAGGTATATGGCTGGCGCCCTCCTGCGAGACCAGCGCACGAGTCCCCCTTTCGGGTCACAGCTCGGCTCCCCGGCGGCCGTTCGGGACGATCCAGGCACCCCCAGACGCCTCTCAGCGAGGCGCAGCCGCTGGGCTGGACAACCGCGGGGAACCGACGAGAATGCCAGAAAACCTCGACCCTCGAAGCTCGAGGCTCGAAAACCTGGACCCTCGAAGCTCGAAGCTCGAGGCTGGAAAGCCGAGACAGCGAGCGCCCGAAGTCGTCGAACAGCCCGAGCGCCGGCGCGCGGGTCGCTTCGGCACGAGCCCCTGCCGCGGGGCGCGCCCCCGTGGCCCCTCCGTGGGGGCTGGGCCCTGCCGGCCGCGGGCGCCCTCGGCGCAGGCGCTGGGCTACACGCAATGAGAGAGCGTCAGGAGGAGAAAAAACACACAGACACAGTCAGTCGTCGATCCCCAGGAAAATATAAGAAAATGTGGGAAGTGGGGGGGGAAGACGAAAACCCAGAAAGTACGAGAAAATAGGGGGAATCCTTTCGTTTGTGTGTATTTATCTGTGTGTCCCAGGGCCCCTTCAGAGCGAGCGTCCGCGGGAGAGGCACGTGGTGCGGGCACGCTTCGGGAGCCTCGGGGCACGGGCCCCATGCAGTCGAAGGAGTCGGGAGTGGGCAGAGCCCCACGCCCTGACATGTCGATGCGTGAGTTGTCCGTTTGCGGTTCTCGGGGGGACGCCGCGGCCGTCGTCTTCCAGGCTTGCGCCCGCCCGGTTTGGGCCCGAGATCGTTGTCACTAAACCACGTTTTGCAGAAGGGGGCTCTGTCCACCCCCGAAAGAAGAAGAAACGCCATCGACATAAACTGTTGGCGCTCTGCGCGGACTTCTTGGATATGCGCTGGGGCCCCCCGGCGGCGCCTCCGGCGCCGCCCCTGGCGCGCTCCGCGCGGAGCGCCAAAAGTTTATGTTTATGGCGTTTTTGTTGTTTCTTTTGTGCAAGCGGAATCAGCCAGAGCGCTGGAAACTGCAGGATGGTGCAGAGGCAGGGCTGCACCGACCTGGGCTAGCGCGCAGGATCCCGCAGGGTCTTGAAGGAGCCCTCAGCGCCTGACTAACCCGGATGTGCGTTGACCCAGGTCAGTCAATCCCCGAGGCGCACTTCACCACCCACCAGGCCACCCCGACCTAACCCGAAGGCTCCAATTTGCCTTCCATTGCCAGTGGGCAGTGGAGGGGGACGTCGGGAAACATGGACAAAACACAGACGGACCCCGTACCCCCCAACCCGATTTGGGGGTATTCGGGTCGGGTTGAGGTTGTCTGGTAGGTAGTCAACACTTCGGTCAGGGGATCGACTGTAGAACTGATTTGCCCAAAACTTGATGTTCTCGTCGAATCCACGAAAAGTGCGTATAATGTTCGCAGACCTACAAACATGATCCGCATTTGCTTGTATATTCGACGAGGAAGTCAGTTCTGGGGTACATCAAGTGAGCGACGCAAGAAAAAGGAGTCGTCTGCGCCGACATTGGCGCGCAAGCTGCCCGAGTGAGCTCGCGCGCAAGCGCCCTCGTCTTCCATCTGGCGTCCCGCGCTGGTGGCCCGCGTGAGCCACCACGTGAGGTCACCGTGCCGTCTCGCGCAAGACCCGTTCTTGACGGGCGTTCGGTTCAGTTCACTCTTTGAGGGGCGCTTCTGCGCAAGAGCCCCCGAAGGCCGCGCACCGCGGGAAAAACCCTCTCCCCGAGGGCCACTCCCGCGGCGGCCGCTTCGGGTCGCCGTCGTCGCCGGCGTCGCCGTCGCCCGTCGCCGCCGCCGCCGCCGTCCTCGTCGTCGCCGTCGTCGTCGTCGCCGTCGCCGTCGTCGTCGTCGTCGCCGCCGTCCTCGTCGTCGTCGCCGTCGTCGTCGTCGCCGTCGTCGTCGCCGCCGTGTGGCCCAGAGGCGTCGGACAGCGAGGGCGGAGGCCCGCGGCCGCGCGGGCGCCTGCTGCTCCCCGCGGGCGGCCCTCGGCGCGCGCCGCGCTTCCGCGGCGCCCTCGCCACGATCCCCGGCACCCCGGTCGCCGGAGGGGGGGGGCGTTAGAGTTCCGGCAGTGCCAAGGGGGGGGTCACCACTGGGGGGGCGCCACCTTCTCCTGGCAATCGAGGTTCCAGGATGGAGAGTCGAGGGGTCGAGGATGTTCTTGGGCGTTTCTTTGCGTTTTCGGGGCTCTGGGGGGCCCAGTTTCTAGAGGAAGTTTCGAGGAAGTGGCGTTTCCTCGAGGAATCGGCGACCCCCCTAGTGGTGACCCTCTTTTGCACTGCCCCAAGAGTCGCCGCTCGGGCGTCGCTCGATGTCGACGAGCGCGCTCCACGACTCGCCAAGTACCTGCTCGCAGATGGCCCGGAGCCCTCGCTGGGGATCCACGATAAATTATAGATCAGAGCAGGCAGGTGTTTTTTTTTCGGACGCTTGCGAGAAGGCACCTTGCGAGTAGTGGAACGCGCTCGGCGATAATGGGGGGGGGGGGGCGATGAATCAGGAGGGGGTGGAGAGAGGTGCACTTCTCGGGCCCCACAGGCCTCCTCTTGTGGAGGCCGAAAGGGCCCGTTTTCTGCAGCCCTCGCTGCCCCCCCATAGATCGCCCCCCCCCAACGGAGGGCGACCCCCAAGCCGCGCCGCTTGTTCCGACGCGCGGCCTGACGATTTGGAGAGAGCGGCTCGGCCACCAGGGCATCGACTGCAGGTAAGAGTGACCCTTCGCTGGAGTGGCTTTGGGTGCGGGCCCGCGGTTGCCCCCGATCGCTGAGCGAGATGCGATAGCAGCGGCTTGCGTGTCTGCTCTTGGCCCCTTCGATCTCCCCCTGAAGCCGCGCACCAGAGGTCACTCTTTCCTGAAGTCGCTCTGCGTGTGGATGGCCGAGGCGCTCCAGAAATCTGGGCTTAAGTCGGGCCTATCCACCTACAAGAGGAAGATTCAAAAATAGTCAAAAAATATTCTGGGGACTATTCAATCGCTTCGCTCATTCCGCCGGCCCTGGAGCCCTCTTTAGGGCCTCTTGGGGGCCTCTTGGGGACCTCTTGGGAGTCTCTTGGGGCTCCTTGGCGGCGTCTGGGGGGGCCCCAGGGCCTCTTGGTGGACTTTTGGGGGCCTCTTGGGGCGGGAGGGGGGGTAGTCGATTGCGGCTCCCCCCTCGGAGGCCACGATCCTCGTGAGGGGTGTCGAAAAATGGCCCTCCCCTGGAGTGCTCTGGTGGCTTCTCCCGGGACCTTGCCGGGGTACTTTTCGTCCGGGGGCTCCCAGGGGCCGCTCCGCGCGCACGAACTAGAAAGATTGTTAACCAGTTACTGGAGATCTTAGCACGCCTCTGGCCCGTTGGGCCGGCGACTTTTTCTAATTGTTTGACCATTTGGGAGTATGTTTGAACTATTTTTAATATCTCTTTCAAAATCCCCCTGTAGGGGGACAGGCCCGACCTAAATCTAGGCATCCCAAATTGGCTCCGAACAGATGGGATCGAAGGATCGCTCCGCATAGCCGATGCATCGCCCATGCAGCGTCGATGCGGCCCGATCCTCCGACACCATCTACTCGGACCCCATGCGGGAGGCCTCTGAGACAGGGCCTCGCCTGCCAGCAAGGGCCTCGCCTTCCTCGCTGGAAGGCCGGCGGAAGCCAGCGGAAGTAAGAGGTGCGCCCCAAGAGAGGACAGTGTGGCTGGGCTCACGGCCAGTGGAACCATCGAGTGAGCAGTCTTCCGGCCCATCTTGGAGCATGGCCGGTCGAGGCAACGGTGGCCACCCCCGAGTCCTCTCTGGACCTCCTGGGGGCTCCCCGTGGCGCGCCACGGCTGGGGCCTGGCGCTCCGAAAAGAGAGAGCCCCAGGACACACCGCTGGGGCCATGTGAAGGACACGCGGGGAGGCCAACGTGCTCGCGAGAGTGAGCCGAGGTGCTCGCGTGTTTGTTTCTCTTGCCAGACGCGCGCCGCCAGGCGCACGGCCGGTGGACGCTCTGGGGCAGCGATGGCCCCCCGGCCGCGCCCTCGAGGCCTCTGAGAGAAAAGCCACGCCGCGCAGCCCGAGAGCGCCCCGCAGCGCCCCAGAAAATATCGGGAATCCCCGGGGCCCTGGGGCCCTGAAAGAGAGCACTCCCAGCCCCGACAACCCAGGGAACCCCAAGGGACAGAGAGGCAGAGGCAGAGCAGAGGCAGAGCGCAGCCTGCCCCCTCGACACATGCTGTGTGTGAGGCCACGGCCGAGCAGCGCGACGACTCGTGGGACGCCACGCCCCCGGGCAGACCCCTCGGATGCAGGCTGACGGGTGTCGCCCGGCTCGTGTTCGGGTCAATTTCGACGATGATGGAAAAGTCCACTCGGATGCCTACCTCTTTCCATGTCGCGGCACAATGGCGGATCTCTTCTTGTCCACCCAGGAGGCCCGTTTTCGCTGAAGTGTGACAAGTTCGATTGCATGGAGGGGGGCGGGAGGGTGTTTGGCGAGGTCCAGAATGAAATCTGGACCTCAGACGAGTCGGGACATCTGCTCTCCTTCTCGGCGCAGCACTGCTTGACATGCCATGCAGGTACAGTCGGGGCCCTGAAGAAGGAACCCTTTTCGTTGGGGAGGGGCTCCATGTTCCTTAATTGTTCCACACCTTGCGCAAGGTTTTCCTTAAGCTTTCGATGGGAAATCGAAGGTTAACTTATGGAAAAAAGGGCCTCGTTCCTTATTTAGGGTTCCTTAGGTCAACGCCTCGACTGTAGACTTGGCCCGAATCTGAGATAAAAAACGCCCCCCCCCCCCCCCCCCCCTCCCAAAGGTCAGCCGCCCGCCGCTGAGCCGCCCGCCGGGCAGCTGGACGCTGGAGCAGAAGGCCTCCCCAGATGCCCCGCTCGCTTCGGGCGGGTGGTGATGGGATGGGGGGTGACCCACATAGGGGGGGAAAGAGAAAGGCCCTACAGGCCCTACAGGGGCCTCCTCTGCGGGCCTTCCTGGAGGGCCTCTCGGAGGCCTCCTGGGCAGTCTTGGAGACCTCAGGGGGCTCTTGGGGCGTCTTGGGCCATCCTGAGGCGATCTTGGGCCGTCTTGGGTGCATCTTGGGCTCCTTTTGAGGCCAGCGGGTGCCCAAAAGGGGCCCCAGCGGGCCTCTTTCTTCACCCCCAACGTGGGCCACCCCACCATGACCACCCGCCCGATCGCTGCCGTTCGGAGCCTGGGCCCGCCCCGCCAGGGGGCTCGTGGCCTTGATGGCGAGGGCCTGTCAGCGATCTGTCGGTGACGCATCATCGATTCCAGGCCGAGGGCTCCTCCGCTGCTGAGCCGGCCCCCCGCCCTCATCGATAACCACAGAACCCCGAACCCTCGCAACACGATGAAGGCGTGGCCTCACTGAGGCCCCCGCCTTCGCACCAGGGATCATAAGTCTGGGCGGTCTGGCCCGGCACATCGGCAGAGAAAGAGAACAAGTTTCCCCAACGTTTCTGGCCCTCCTAACTCGGATCCCCTCCCAAAGCCGCAGGGGTCCTTTTTTTTTTTGCTTAGCCACCGCCCCCCCGCAGATGTCCGGCGCCGTGGGGAAAACGAGAGGGAGGGAGGGAGGGAGGGAGGGAGGGAGGGAGGGAGGGAGGGGGGAGGGGAGGGGAGGAGGAGGGGGAGGGAGGAGGGAGGAGGGAGGAGGGGCTTGGCTGGCAGTGTCCACGGCCGGTGGCCTGCGGAGGCCTGCTTCTCGGGCCCCGGGGGCGCCAATCTCGGGCCCCGCAGGAGACTTCCCGGGCGCCCCGAGGCCGCTCCAGAGGTGGAGCCCAAGACGCCCCTGGGACACCCCCCCTGGGGGGCCCACTGGGCCCCCAGGCTCGCCCCAGGACGGTCCACCAGTCCGCCCAAGAGCCCCAACACGGCCCAAGAGAGCCCGAAGGCGGCCCAGGGAGCGCCCAAGACGCCCCACAGCCTTCCAGGGCAGGCCGAATACGCTCCAAGAAGATTCCAAGACGCCCCCAGAGTCCCCCAGGCGGTTCCCGGAGTCGGCTGGTGGTCCCATAAAGCCGCAAGAGGCTCCAACAGGACGCCCTGATACCGCCGTCAGATAGCCGCCCTGAGAACCCCGGGATCCCAGAAGAACGCGACTTTCAACTGATTTTCGCAGGTTCCTGCGAGGCACGGCGGCATGCAGGACAACGCGGACCAGTTTGAGACTTCGCGGCTCCGTCGGGGGTTGCGCCATTGTCGCCACTTTCGCGGGCTCATGGGAGGCACAGCGGAGTGCAGGGCAACGCGGATCACTTTGAAGCCTCGCGGCTCCACCTGGGGCTGCGGATTGCGCAACTGCCGCCATTTTCGCAGGGCTCCTACCTCTGGGCTCCGTCGGGAGTCGCGAACTGCGCAATTGTCGCCCCTTTTCGTGGGCTCCTGGGAGGCACGGCTGCATGCAGGGCAACGCAGATCAGTTTGAGACCTCGCGGCTCCCTCCCTCGTTCGCTGCGAACTGCGCAACTGACACCACTTCCGTGGGCGTCTGAGAACCACAGCGGAGTGCAGGGCAACGCTGATAATCTCGGACCTCGCAGTTCCATCGGGGGTTGCGCAGGTTCCTGGGAAGCACGGCGGAATGCAGGGCAACGTGGATGATTTTGAGACCCCGCTGCTCTATCGGCGGCTGCGAATTACGCATTTGACACCTTTTCCGTGGGTTCCTGGGCACGGCAGAGTGCAGGGCAACGCGGATCATTTCAGACCTCGTTGTTCCGTCAGGGGTGTCCAATTGCGCAGTTGTCGTCATTTTCGTGTGCTGCTGGGAGCCACGGCGAAGTGCAGGGCGCCCACATGGCGCGTGCTCACATGGCGCGTGGCGCCGTCCCGTCATTTAGCGCGCCTTGCTGTTGCATCGCGGAGCGCTGGAGCGCCACGCAGCGCATGGTGCTGCCCTCAGTGGCCCAAATCCCCTCTACTCAAATGCCTGTCCCCCGCAGCAGCAGCAGCAGCAGCAGCAGCAGGAGGGAACTGAGCAGATGTGGCGCGTGGCGCTGCTACTCTCACCCAATGTATTGCGAAGGCCTGACGGCCGGTGCCGCCGACCCTGTTCGCAATGCGCAGCAAGAGGCACGGGCTGTGGGATGGTTTGGGGGAACGGGGAGAAGGACGAGAAGGTGGGGGAGGGAGGTGTCGTATCTGACCCGGGACTTCCCCGGGACTCCCCCGGGACCCCCCCCGGGACCTCCTCTCCCCCCCCCGTCGGGGAAGGGAAAGGGAAGGGGCTTCCCTTCGACTCAATGACGACGTTGCTCAAGGTCGGTACGGGGGGGGGGCGTCGTATCTGACTACGCTACCCCCCCCCCCTCCCGGCGGGGGAGGGATCAAAGGGAAGGGGCTTCCCTTCGACTCAATTACGAGGTTGCTCAAGGTCGGCTTGGCTGGAGCCCAGGGGAAGAGGAGTCCCAGGGGGGGGCGTCGTATCTGACCCGGGGGGGGGGTCGCTACCCCCCCCCCCCTCCCGGCGGGGGAGGGATCAAAGGGAAGGGGCTTCCCTTCGACTCAATTACGAGGTTGCTCAAGGTCGGCTTGGCTGGAGCCCAGGGGAAGAGGAGTCCCAGGGGGGGGCGTCGTATCTGACCCGGGGGGGGGTCGCTACCCCCCCCCCCCTCCCGGCGGGGGAGGGATCAAAGGGAAGGGGCTTCCCTTCGACTCAATTACGAGGTTGCTCAAGGTCGGCTTGGCTGGAGCCCAGGGGAAGAGGAGTCCCAGGGGGGGGCGTCGTATCTGACCCGGGGGGGGGGTCGCTACCCCCCCCCCTCCCGGCGGGGGAGGGATCAAAGGGAAGGGGCTTCCCTTCGACTCAATTACGAGGTTGCTCAAGGTCGGCTTGGCTGGAGCCCAGGGGAAGAGGAGTCCCAGGGGGGGATCTGACCCCAGGGGAGAATCAAGGGAGGGGTCGACTTACGAGGTTGCTCAAGGTCGGCTTGGCTGGGTCGAGCTTGGCTGGAGCTACCCCCCCCCCTCCCGGCGGGGGAGGATCAAAGGGAAGGGGCTTCCCTTCGATTACGAGGTTGCTCAAGCTGGAGCCCAGGGGGGAGGAGGTCCCAGGGGGGGGCGTCGTATCTGACCCGGGGGGGGGGTCGCTACCCCCCCCCCCCCTCCCGGCGGGGGAGGGATCAAAGGGAAGGGGCTTCCCTTCGACTCAATTACGAGGTTGCTCAAGGTCGGCTTGGCTGGAGCCCAGGGGAAGAGGAGTCCCAGGGGGGGGCGTCGTATCTGACCCGGGGGGGGGGTCGCTACCCCCCCCCCCCTCCCGGCGGGGGAGGGATCAAAGGGAAGGGGCTTCCCTTCGACTCAATTACGAGGTTGCTCAAGGTCGGCTTGGCTGGAGCCCAGGGGAAGAGGTCTCCCAGGGAAAGGGAAGGACAGAGACGACGAGTACAAAGAATGACGGAGATGACGGCTCGAACGGAAAAGCCCCTCACACACGCCGACAGGGTCGGCGGATTCCCCTTCCGTCGCCATCCTCCTTGGCATCCCCCCTCGTCCTCACCTTCTGTCCTCCGTTTTGTTGTTCTTGTCGTGCGTGTCGTCGCCGTCCCTTTTGCGATCTGAGCTGCGCAGGTGTGCGACGCGCGTGTCCCGACAATTGCGTAGCGAAGAAGTTCAGATTGACACATATCTCGCAACGCGCTCTTTGTATGGAAAGGTCATATTAATAGTCGTTTCGCGCGGAGAAAGGGTTGGGTACGTCCCAGACATAGCGTTATCGCATTTCCTGGCTCCCGACGCTTTCAGACGGCCCACTGGGCCCCCAAGCTCGCCCGAAGACGGTCCGACAGTCCGCCAAAAAGCCCCAATACGGCCCAAGAGAGCCCGAAGGCGGCCCAAGAAGCACCCAACACGCCCCACATCCTTCCAGGGCAGCCCGAATACGCTCCAAGAAGAAGATTCCAAAACGCCCCCAGACTCCCCAAGGCCGTTCCCAGAGTCGGCTGGCGGTCCCATGCAGCCGCAAGAGGCTCCAACCGGACGCTTCGGCCCACGCTCATGTGGCAACGCTTCGATTGTATACCCGTCTGGGCCGGGGGAGAGACGGGCTCCGACCAACCAAACCCGTATTCCAGCGTATTCGTTGCTGGCTCTTGCGTGAGGACTTCGGGCGCACATGACTCGGGCCGGGCGAAAGGGGGGGATTGGGAAAGGGGGGGTTAGGACATTTGCTGCATGCAGCTGGTTTCGGCCTCACCGAGGGGCCCATTCCTCGATACATAGCCGCCTCCGGCGCCGGGAGGCGCCGGGAAAATCAGCTGCGTGAGCTGATTCTCAAACCCCCCCTTTGCTATCCCCCCCTTTTGCCCGACCCGAATGACACTGTTAGCCTGGGCGGGAGTTCGATGCACGTGCGGCCAGAGATCGATGCACGTGCGGCCAGAGATGTGTCCAGCGTTCGTCCCTTCTATGGCCGTGTGGGCTGGGCTTCCTCACGCGTGTCCAGCGCATTGGCTCCGGGTGATCCGCACATGCGAGTCCAGCCGTCTGCGTTTTCGGCATGCACGGCCTTGCCGGTCGTTCCAAGACCGAGGCGCTGGCCGTGGCAGGGCGTCGGCAGCGCACGCTCCAGACCTCGGCAGCGCGAGGGCGAGGCAAAAGGCAGACGTGATTAGGCGTGTCGAGAGGGTGACGACGCACACCGGGCCGGGCACCCAGAACTCGGATCGTGGTCTTTGCAAAACGGTCCCATTCCGAACTCCCCATTCCAGACTCCCAGATTCCAGATCCAGCTCACGTTTCGTTTTTGTTGTTTGGCTGGCAGTCGAGTGGTGCACCCATGCCCTGCACAGGGCCGAGCAGCCGGCAGGCATGCTCGCGTGGTTCGCTCGCTCGCTGACCCCTGGAGGTGTGGAGCCCTGCCCCTGGACCGCTGGTTCATGCCGACTTGGTTCTGACGGTCCCGAGGCTCAGTGAGGGACCCCAGCGGCCGATAATGCGTTTTCCGTTTTATATATATATATATATATATATATATATATACATGTATGTATGTATTATGTTTTGTTGTTAAAGAAGATACGTTTGAAAAAAGGAGGAGGGAGGGGGCGAGCTACAGCGACGCCCGTTCCTGACCTCGTGGCTGAGCCGGGGCCTCCGCGCAGCAGGGTGGGGCCCCGCTCCCCTCCTCGCCACCCTCCCCCGCTTCCCCCCTCCCCGTGCTCTTCCGCCCTGCCCCCCCGCTCGCAATCTCTCTTTCACTCTCTCTCTCTCTCTCTCTCTCTCGCGGAGGAGGAGGAGGAGGAGGAGGAGGAGGAGGAGGAGGTCTTTCTCTCTCTCTCTCTCTCACTCTCTCTCTCTCTCTCTCTCTCTCCCTCTCTCTCTCTCTCTCTCTTTACGACCAGCCTGTATTCCTACCCCTATCATTGGCATCACCCGATCTCGATGCCGATCTCAAGGATTTCCTGAGCTTCTGAAGGAGCACCCCTAAGATTGGCATCGCATCTTGGCCTGATGATCTTGGGGATAGAGATAGGATCGATGCTGGTTGCCCCTCCCCATCCCCCCCCCCTCCGACCGTCGCTTTTTTCAAGCCGCGTACCGTTTCGTCCGCGCCAGGGGGAAGTTCATCCAACCACCCGTGTTCAGCATGCGACGCACCCCGCTTTCTGAGGCCAGTCCGCTGCGCACGCGTGGCTAAAGCGCCAAACGGTGACAGTGTCCGAAGTGTGCGCCGCCCCCCCCCCCTCCCTCTCCCTCACCCTCCCCACCTCCGCCCCACCACCCCTCCCCCTCTGCCCCCTTCCCCCCCATCCCCCCCCTTCCCTCTAACCCTCCCCCCCCCTTCCCCCCTCTCACCCTCCGCCCCCCCCCCCTCTCCTCCCCTCCCTCTCCCTCCCCCCCCCTCTCCGCCTTAATCATTGTTCCCTATTAATAAACACCCCCTCCCCCAGGCGACTGGTAGCCAACCCAGAACCATGCGGGCACCACCCACCATCCCTTGTAAAAAGCAATACAAAACACACTCTGCTTCCAAATCCGGAGCATGCGCAGCCAACCCGATGCATGCGGCCTCCCCCCACCATCCCTGTCAAAAAATTATCCCGGCAAAGCAACCTAACAGCGATGTGTAGAAGCATATCTGAAAGCATTCCCCTTACTAGCCGGCCGCTCTGCGGTTGATCGGGAGTTTCTGTATATAGAAGAAGGTGCGTGCGCTTGTTGGCGAGGGTGAGGATGAGGTTCCTCCTCCTCCTCCTCCTCCTCCTCCTCCTCCTCCTCCTCCTCCTCCATCCTTCTCTTGCCTCCGTCTGTCCTCCTCCACCCCGCAGCTCCATCATCTTCTCCTCCTCCTCCTCCTCCTCCTCCTCCTCCTCCTCCTCCTCCTCCTCCTCCTCCTCCTCCTCCTCCTCATTCCTCCTCTGGGCACCTCCCCCGGGGCGCGGATCCACCGGATCTGTCCGGATCTGTCCGGAAACGGTGCCGGAGGCCGCTCTGGGCTCCTCTGGGCACCTCCCCCGGGGCCCGTTTTGTGAGGATGTCTCAAGCGAGGGCGCCGGTTTGGGATTCGTCACCGGATCCAGCGGATCCAGCGGATCCAGCGGATCTGTCCGGAAACGGTGCCGGAGGCCGCTCTGGGCTCCTGTGGGCACCTCCCCCGGGGCCGGTTTTGCGGGGATGTCTCAGGCGAGGGCGCCGGTTTGGGATTCGCCGGAGCGGATCCAGCGGATCCGCGGATCCGTCCGGAAACGGTGCCGGAAGCCGCTCTGGGCTCCTCTGGGCACCTCCCCCGGGGCCGGTTTTGTGAGGATGTCTCAGGCGAGGGCGCCGGTTTGGGATTCGTCACCGGATCCAGCGGATCCAGCGGATCCGTCCGGAAACGGTGCCGGAGGCCGCTCTGGGCTCCTCTGGGCATCCCCCCCGGGGCCCGTTTTGTGAGGATGTCTCAGGCGAGGGCGCCGGTTTGGGATTCGTCACCGGATCCAGCGGATCCAGCGGATCCGTCCGGAAACGGTGCCGGAGGCCGCTCTGGGCTCCTCTGGGCACCTCCCCCGGGGCCGGTTTTCCGGGGATGTCTGAGGCGAGGGCGCCGGTTTGGGATTCGTCCCCGGATCCAGCGGATCCGTCCGGATCCGTCCGGAAACGGTGCCGGAGGCCGCTCTGGGCTTCTCTGGGCACCTCCCCCGGGGCCGGTTTTGCGGGGATGTCTCAGGCGAGGGCGCCGGTTTGGGATTCGTCCCCGGATCCAGCGGATCCGTCCGGATCCGTCCGGAACAGAGGCCGCTCTGGGCTCCTCTGGGCACCTCCCCCGGGGCCGGTTTTGCGGGGATGTCTCAGGCGAGGGCGCCGGTTTGGGATTCGTCCCCGGATCCAGCGGATCCGTCCGGATCCGTCCGGAAACGGTGCCGGAGGCCGCTCTGGACTCGTGCTCTTCGCGCCGGGGGTGAGGATGACGTGAGTTCCACAGAAACTCCCTCAAAAGATTCAGATGAAAATCCAGTTGTCGAATTCTGCTGTTTCTCGCAGTCGTAGTCGCATTCGCGATGACAGTCGCAGCGGCAACGGCAGTCGCAGTCACAGCCTCAGCCTCAGCCTGCCTCCTTCCTCCTCCTCCTCTTTCTCCTGCTCCTCCTCCTCCTCCTCCTCCTCTTCCTCCTGCTCGTCCTCGTTCTCGTCCTCCTCGTCTTGCTCGTCCTCCTCCTCCTGGTGCTCGTCTCCTCCTCCTCTCCTCCTCCTCCTCCTCCTCCTCCTCCTCCTCCTTGTGGTCCTCGTTCTCCTCCTCCTGGTGCTCTCCCCCCCCCTCCTCCTCCTCGTCCTCCTCCTCCTCCTCCTCGTCCTCCTCCTCCTCTCCTCCTCCTCCTCCTCCTCCTCCTCCTCCTCCTCCTCCTGGTAGTCCTCCCCCTCCCCCTCCTCCTCCTCCTCCTCTTCCTCTTCCTGGTCGTCCTCGTTCTCGTCCTCCTCGTCTTGCTCGTCCTCCTCCTCCTGGTGTTCTCTCCTCCTCCTCCTCCTCCTCCTCCTCCTCCTCCTCCTCCTCCTCCTCCTGGTGGTCCTCGTTCTCCTCCTCCTGGTACTCTCCCCCCCCCTCCTCCTCCTCCTCCTCGTCCTCGTCCTCCTCCTCCTCCTCCTCCTCTTCCTCCTCCTCCTCCTCCTCCTCCTCCTCCTCCTGGTACTCCTCCCCTCCCCTCCTCCTCCTCCTCCTCTTCCTGGTCGTCCTCCTCCTCCTGGTCGTCCTCCTCCTCCTGCTCGTCCTCCTCCTCCTCCTGCTCGTCCTTCTTCTCCTGCTCCTCCTGCTCCTCGTCCTGCTCCTGCTCGTCCTCGTCCTCCTGGTCTTGCTCGTCCTCCTCCTCGTCGTGCTCTTGCCCCTGCTGGAAATGTGGCCCAGGAATGGGAGTTCTGGGAAGTCGAAGAGCACGAAGTTGCCTACAGTTGGCTACGGGCATTCAAAATGTGGCCCGGGAATGGAGTTCTGGGAACTCGAAGAGCACGAAGTGGCCTACAGTTGGCTCCGGGCATTCAAAATGTGGCCCGGGAATGGAGTTCTGGGAACTCGAAGAGCACGAAGTGGCCTACAGTTGGCTCCGGGCATCCAAAATGTGGCCCGGGAATGGAATTCTGGGAACTCGAAGAGCACGAAGTGTGTGACTGTTGCATCCGGCCCTCCAGAATGTGGCCCGGGAATGGCGTTCTGGGAACTCGAAGAGCACGAAGTGTGTGACTGTTGCATCCGGTTATTCTAAATGTGGCCCGGGAATGGCGTTCTGGGATCTCGAAGAGCACGAAGTGTGTGACTGTTGCATCCGGGTATTCAGAATGTGGCCTGGGAATGGAGTTCTGGGAAGTCGAAGAGCACGAAGTGTGTGACTGTTGGTGAAAAACGAGCCCGGCACCCTGCCGCCCGGCAACTCCCCAACACCTGCCCGGACCCCCTGTGGAGTGATCTGTGAGCTCTTTTGAGTCAACTAGAAACCTATCAGTCTTCGCTGTTAGGTAACAATACAGAGTGCACTTGGCGGCGGCGGCGGCTGCTGCGGCTGCGGCGGCGGCGGCTGCGGCGGCGGCGGCGGGGGCGGCGGCGGGGGCGGCGGCGGCGGCGGCGGCGGCTGCGGCGGCAGCGATTTGGCAGCGGGGGCTGCGGCGACGGCGGCGGCGGCGGCTGCGGCGGCGGCGGCGGCGGAGGCGGCGGCGGCGGCGGATTGGCCCCCAGTAGCTGCCCATCCAAAGACGACTGCTGAATATGCTGAGGCTCGGGCCAGACTCGGGTGCTACGCATGTGTTGGGAGGGCGGGTGGGAGTGAGCGAGACGGCTTGCGGGCGGGGGGGGAGTCTTGACCCCCCTCTACCTCCCCCCCCCTCCCCCGCAGGGCAGCACGTGCGACGCACCCGGAACAAAAATCTCTGGCGGGAGGTGCCGAGGCCCGGGCTGCCGCCGCCGCTGGGGCTGCCGCCTGCCGGGGGCGCGGCGGCCACGCCCTCGCAGGTGCCGGGGGCCTCGAGCGGAGGATCTCTGCAGCCAAGGGAGGAAAAGCCACCTGAACCAGACAATCAGCGTTTACTAAAAGGCCCTGCAGGGCTCTGAGGCGGGACCTTATACATGACCACCGCCTGGAGGGTCAGTTTTCGGAGTCCCGGCAGGCGGAAGATATGGACATATTCGGGCCCCCGGGGGCCGAAATATATCCATTTCCACCGCCCGCTGGGGCACCAGGGCGTCGATTCCCAGGCGGTGGATATGGATAAATTCTTTACGCTTCGCGTATCCCCACCAGCCCATCTCACAACAGCAACTCTTGCGAAGCATACCGACAGTCGTGTTTTTCAGGCGTGTGTCCGCTTGCCCCCGCATATCTCCCCTGTTCCTCCTTCCTCCCGCCTCCTTGTACATCCTCCTTGTGGGGGGAGCGGGAGAAGGACGAGGCGAAGGAGGAGGGAGAGAAAGCTCTCGTCCTGGTGTGAGTCGTTCGGGCCCTTCTTCCTGGTGTGAGTCGTTCGGGCTCTTCGTGGTGTGAGTCGTTCGGGCTCTTCGTCCTGGTGTGAGTCGTTCGGGCTTCTCGTGGTGTGAGTTGTTCGGGCCCCTCTCCTGGTGTGAGTCGTTCGGGCCCCGTTCCTCCTGGTGTGACTCGTTCGGGCTCCTCGTGGTGTGAGTCGTTCGGGCGCCTCGTCCTGGTGTGAGTCGTTCGGGCCCCTCCTTCTGGTGTGAGTCGTTCGGGCTCTTCGTGGTGTGAGTCGTTCGGGCCCCTCGTCCTGGTGTGAGTGAGTTCGGGCCCCTCGTCCTGGTGTGAGTCGTTCGGGCTTCTCGTGGCGTGAGGCGTTCGGGCACCTCGTCCCCTTTTGGGGCGTCTTGGGGGCCTCTTGGCGGCCCCAGGGGCTTCTAGGAGCGTCTTGGGTGCCTTGGGGGAGCCTCTTCGGGCCTCTTGGGAGCCTCTTGGAGGCCGTTTGGGGCGTCTTGGGGGCCTCTTGGCGGCCCCAGGGGCTTCCAGGAGCGTCTTGGGTGCCTCGGGGGAGCCTCTTGGGGCCTCTTGGGGGCCTCTTGGGGGCATCTTGGGGGCCTCTTGGAGGGCTCTTGGGGGCCTCCTGGGGGCCTCTTGGGCCCTTCTTGGGGCCTCTTGGTGCCTCCTGGGCGCTTCTTGGGGCCATCTTGGAGGGAATCGATCAAAGAAGAGGGGAGGTTTAATGAGCGCTGCCCCCTCAGAAGGGCAAAATGGGGCCAAAACCTTTGTAAAATCAATGATTTTGCCTTGAAAGAAGAGGGGAGCTTTAAGGAGCGCTGCCCCCTCAGAAGGCCAAAATGGGGCCAAAACCGTAGTAAAATCAATAATTTTGGCTTCAAAGAAGAGGAGGGTTTTTTTCTCTCCCCCCCCCCCCCGTCTGGGCCAGAATCCTCGTGAGGGGTGTCGTTTTTTAGCCCTCCCAGGAGTCGAAAAGGACCCCCCTGACCACCCGCGAAACCCCCTCTCCAGGTCCAGGGTGAGGGGGTAGGGGGAGGGGTAAACCCCTCCCCGAAGGGGAAGAAGGGGGGTTGAGAACAGAGAGAGCTCGCTAAACCACTCACGCCCAAAGGGCTGGTGGGATTCCCGCCTCGCAAGGGCGTTTACTCAACAGCCCTGCCCTCTTCGATTCCTCCTTTGGGCGCGTTTCCTAGACGATTTCACGTGTCGGGGTGGTTATTATGGGGGTCGATGTTTTGACCTCTGTGCAGGCCCCAGGCTCGGGGTCTCGCAGGGTCGGGGTACGGAGATCATGGGCGGAGGGCCCAGCAGCAGCTTCTCCTCGTTCAGGAGAGGAGGGTCTCGCCCTCCCTCGGGGGCGTGCAAGAGGGAGGTGGGGACTCTTTTTGTTTTCGTCGTCGAAGGGGGGAGGGGGGGAGGGGTTTTCATTTGCTCTTAGGGGAGGGTTCTCGCCTCGGGGTGCTTTTGTCCAGCAGCAGCGCCTTGTTGAGAACTCTCTGGGGCTGCCCGGCTCGTCCCGAACGGACGCCAGAGGTCCCAGTGCCGACCCGAAGGCCACCGGGCGTGGAAGAGGGTGCTGGGTGCCAGGGCGGAGGGGGTGATGATCCAGGCCTCCCGAGTGGAGTCCGAGCAGATGAGGTCGGAGGATCGCGCCGCATCGTCGATCAAGGAGTCGGCCCCTCGGGCGAGGGTCGTGCTGCGGGCGGGAGCCCGAGGAGGAGGAGGAGGAGGAGGAGGAGGAGGAGGAGGAGGCAGGGCAGGAGGAGCAGGAAGGGCAGGAGGAGCAGCAGGAGAGGGAGGCTGGTGGAAAGGCACGGCGCTGGGAACCAGGACCAGTCAGGACCATCGGGAGGGGCTCCGGTCCTCGGGCCGCTCCAGAGGGCCAGGTCGGGGAGCCCCGCCGTGGCCGAGGCTCGCTGTTGCTGGAGCAGCCCCTTCGTTCCTCCCTGAGCGCTCCTCCTCCTCCTCCTCCTCCTCCCTCCTCCTCCTCCTCCTCCTCCTCCTCCTCCTCCTCCTCCTCCTGGATGCAGGGCGCTCGTCGCGGATGCCCCGCGCGGAGCGTGTGTGTCCACGCGCCCGCGCATGCACGGGAGCGGGCCCCAGAGCCCAGGCCTCGAGGGCGTGGATAGCGCTCGTCGCCACCCACGAGGCCACGCCGGCCCAGCCCGAAGGCCTCCGTGGGCCCTCCGTTTCCAGTGGTGGGGGGGGGGGGTCGGGGAGCACCGAGAGAGCAGGCTCGGAACCCGCAGCCCCCCCACCCGGAGTTCGGGCCTCTTCGGGCTGGCCTGGGTTCGGGCGGTGTCTGGTGGGCAGGCCAGCTCGCCGCTCGCGGGGGAGGAGGGGGAGGCCGACGCCGGCGCAGAGAGGCCAGGGCGCTCAGGAGAAGGGCCCGGGCTGCAGCGCGGGGAGGGGCCTCGGGAGCTCGGGCGCTGGTGTGCCGAGGACGCCCTGAGCTCCTGAGGAGGGCCCCTTCGCCCCGCGGTATCTGGCGTCCTCGAGGGCCCAGCGGCGAGCGACGGGGCGGGGGGGGGGGGAGTGAGTAGGAGAAGGCCATCTCAGGAGGCGGCGCCAGAAGGGCCCCCTTCGCCCCGTATCTGGCGTCCTCGAGGGCCAAGCGGCGAGCGAGGGGGGGGAGAGAGGCTTCTCGGAGACGCCCTCGCGCCTTCTGGGAGAGAGGCGTTCTGCGTCCTCGGGGCAGGCGCAGGTAACTCTTCAGAAGGCCGGGTGACTTGCGAGCCCTCCGAGGAGGCGCCCCCCTCCTCGCTTCCTTCCCCCCCCCCTCGCTCGCCGCCGAACGACGGCGCCACGGTGCACTCGGGGTGTGCCTCCGCTCCCCCAGGTGCTGGCGACGCGGGCCCCGGCGCGGGAGGCCCTCGCGCCGCAGAAGGTGGCCGTGCCCGAGGGCGCCGAGCCGCCCGCGAGGCCGCTGGACCCCGCCGTGCCGGCCAAGAAGAAGCCCCTGCTCGGCCTCGCGCCCGGGGCGGGCGGCGCGGACAGGCTCGCGGGCCCCGGGGGGCCGGAGCTGGGGCCTCGGGCCCTCGTGCTCTCGGAGGTCGACATACAGTGCCGTTGTTGATACATGCTCCGCGTGCGGATCATGCAATAGAATTGCAGGGATGTAGTATTAAAAACAACGATGATTCATGCATAAATTTATTTATACATTAATCATGGATTAGAAATCATATACATATATATATATATATATAAAAAGATCCCATGTGTTAAAAACTGCCCTGTATACCTCCTGCCCTGGCACGTCGATTCGCGACTTGGCCGCTTTCGGTTGGCGCGAGGGCGTCGCGGCCGTCATTTCTGCGGGTCCAGGGCCGTCGGTTTCGGTCCTGGGCCGCTGGCACTCGAGGGCGGTTTGCGAAAAGGAAGTGTGTCCACCGCCGGTGTTCCCCGCGGCTTCCAGTTCGAACAGCGCCGACGTCGAGAAGTGCTGCCCGCGCGCACGTGCACGGGTTCGCGGGCTCGCGGGTCGGGCCCCGGGGCCGCGACCCCGCGGCTGCGGGGCGGTGTTGTCGCGGATGCCCCGCGCGGAGCGTATCCGCGCGACTGCGCATCCGCGGGATCGTGCTACGGAATCCAGGCCGCGAGGGCGGCGCGGACAGGTGCTTCGAGGGAAGAAGCACGATGTCCCCGTGACCACCATGTCACAGGGTTTCGTGGACGCCGATCTTGGTCGTGGTCCATGCTGACCGTCGCCGATTCGCGAGGAAGAACCCCCAGTTTACGATGACCACGGCGGATATGTATCGAGATCGACGCCGACATGTCCGCGCTCAGACTTGCTCATGGTCATCGCTTCTCTCCCTCTCCAGGACCATGCCCATGAAGAAGAGGGTGACCGGCTTCCTCGTGC